CCTGAGGGCTCCCAGTATTGTGAGAGGGACAGGTTGGGCTGAGGGAACCCCCCCCCCCACCTTGCCAGTGCACAAATTTTTGTGCACCGGGCTTCAAGTTTTATATATGATACAAAAATGTAATTGTTTAATGTAATTAGGAACCAAAATTGTCAGTGTAAAAGATAACATATAAAAATCAAGGGAAGTGCCCGGCCAACGTGGCTCAATGGTTGAGCGTCAACCTATGAACCAGAAGGTCACGGTTCGATTCCCAGTCAGGGCACATGCCTGGGTTGTGGGCTCAATTCCCAGTGTGGGGTGTGCAAGAGGCAACCAATCAATGATTCTCTCTCAACACTAATGTATCAATTTCTCTCTCCCTTTCCTTTCCTCTCTCTGAAATCAATAAAAATATATTTTAAAAATCAAGGGAAGGAAGTTTACAACTCTGTAATGTTAGATTGGAAGTGGAAAGATCAACATTGTACTGGTCATGTTTCTACAAGATAATGTGGTATAAACACAGAGCCCTCAAATCTCAGAGGCTTACGGCAACACTACTTATTTCATGCTCAAAGGTCTGTAGAATGACTTCAACTCAACTGATTTCTGCTGGGTTCCCCTGGACTGTGCCAGGTTGGGCTGGAATGCAGGCTTTGGGTTTGGGATTCCGGCTAAACGAGCAATAGCTAACAGTACACCACGGAGAGTAGAAATTCCAAGAGGGCTGGTGGAAACGTGCCATGCCTCCAACCACTTCAGCTTACCCCTTGCATTACTTGTGCCTAAGTCACAGGGCCAAGCCCAAAATCTATACAATAGGGACATATACACACTCACAGAGAAGTTATGACAAGGATGAGGAGGGAAGGAAGAATTGTGGAAAAATAACACCACCTGCCCTAATTACAATCTCATGATTTTTCTTTCAAAAAATAAGTATTTCCTAACCCTGTCCACCGAAAAGACCTAAAAGCAACAGCAACCCAGTAGCAATGAATATCCTCTCACCAATGAATATTACTCTCCACTAAAGAAACCAGCACCCTGAGGAATGCCTGAATCTAGGTCTTCAGTGGGAAGTGCACAACATCACATTGGAATATCTCATTGTGCCACAGAGCAAGGAAGTTATCAAAAATGAAGGGATCATGTTGACATAGGAGGTGACATGAAAGGGCTCCCATTGGTTAAAGACAGATCAATTTATGCATCAAAAAGCATACTGACTGTCACTGATTGAAATGCAGATTCCCCACCCACTCCAACCCCATGGAATCAGAATCTCCAAGGACGGGGCCTGGCATCTGTATTTTTACAGAGCTCCCCAATGGATTCTCATGTGTGGCCAGGGTGGAGGCACCAGTCCAAGGATCCTGATCCTATGGGAGTCTGGGTCACTCACAGTGCCCATCTTGCTCTCAGATGCTTGCTTCTGCTTCCTAGAAAGTCTTGCCTACAACAAACTTAACATTGTCCACTATTCATGTCCTTCCAACTCTAAGATGGTCCAGCCACAATGTGGCAGCCATCTTCAAGGGGGGAAATCCCAGTTTTCAGTCTGCTAACAAAAATGAAAACAGTAAAAAAGCTGGGTAGCTCCCAGAACCTTCCTTTTAATTGCAATGTTGACAATGACAATGAGAAGCAAACGCTTCCATTTTTAGCTAACATCTCATAGATCCAAAACATTCAAGTTTGGGGCTTCTCCAGATACCTCAAAGCAATTCGTTCTTAATCCCCACTCTGCACCAGAACCTTGTGCAAAACAGGGCCGACTGGGTTCTGGAGCCTGACCCAGCGATTCAGATTTAGTGGTCTAGGCGAGTCTGGGCACCCATGTTTCAGAGGCTGCCCAGGTGACTCTGATGTGCAGCCACAATTGAGAACCACTGCTCCAAGCTAAATCTTGAAAGCAAAACATCTCCACCTTAATGTCTTGTCTCAACTTGAAATCAGATATGCCCTGGATGAGGTATCTTCCAAACTGTAGCCCTAGCTGGTTTGACTTAGTGGATAGAGAGTCGGCCTGTGGACTGAAGGGTCCTGGGTTCAATTCCAGTTAAGGGCACATGCCTGGGTTGCAGGCTCCATCCCCAGTGAAGAGCATGCAGGAGGCAGCCAATCAATGATTCTCTCTCATCATTGATGTTTCTATCTCTCTCTCCCTCTCCCTTCCTCTCTGAAATCAATTAAAATATATTTAAAAAGAAAAAAACCAAACTACAGTGCCCTGGGGAAAAGTCTGCTGCTGGTTGTGCCTCTGAAGAACTCCCAGCCTTTCCCTCCTGCAACCAGCCAGAACAGCGACCCCAGCCTCCCACACACGCAGTCTCAGGGTTCAGGGCTCACAGCAGGCGTGGCTGCCCTGCTCAGTGCTCAAGACAGAGAATAAAGATCCAAATGTCTAAGCCACTCCAGACCAAAGCTAAGCAGAGAACAGGATCAGAAGTAGCTCCAGCTGAGAACTAAGGTGACCATTAAACAACTATTCCCCCAAAGGCTCCAAGAGGTAGCGAGTTGTTTCAGTTATATATTTTTTTAGTTAGAAAGAATAGATAACTCCACATTAGAAATAAAACAACAACAGAAGAAGACTGGATGTCAGCCAATTCAAAAAAAGCAAACATAGCTCAGCTCCCCAAACCTAATGAACACAATAGGTGTGCACACGCACACACATAAATAATACAGATCATTGCCAGGTCTTCACATAAATGCTGATCGCAGCTAACATGCAAGTTTCCTCCTAATCTATAACAGGTAGATACCAGCTCCCAGGAGGCCTGGATCTGTAGTCTGACTGTGCATTAAAATGCTGTTTTTCTCCATCTTTACAGCTACCATACTGTAAGAAGGGCACAGTAAGAGTGTTCTAGAATTCACAGTAGACACCTTTTGGTTGCAGCAGACACTTTTTGACATATCTCTCCACCAATACTCCTCCTCTGAAACTGCACCCCACTCACCAGGCTGGGTCCCCTCAGCTCAGTTGTGCTTGCAGGACTTGGCCCTGTACTCCTGACCTTGGTCACAGCACCCGCACTAGACATGTGACTCAGCTGGGCTGGACTGAGAGTTGCCAGTCTCAGTGTGGAGGATGGCTGCAGGGGAGATCATGTAAACATGGGCCCTGTGGGGAGGCCGGGTTGGACCACATCGGCCGACAGGAGTGAAGGCAGAAGAGAGAAGCAGAGGGAAAAGCTGAGGCAAGAAGCAGCGTGGTCTGTGTCCTGGTTGGCTCTCCAGGCTGCCTGAACTCCATGCCCATTCTGTAAAATGCCCCTTCTATCCCTGTAATAAAGTCCTCTTCTGCCTATCACAGCTACTTTGACATGCATTTCTATTAGCTGTTAACAAAAGAAGAACCCTGACTAAAATAACTATAAAGCCTCATTGTCGACTACTAAGCATTTCCAGTAGTTTTTAAATCAACGTTTTAAAGTCAACTTTTTTCTCTTTATTGACTATGCTGTTGCTACAAATGTACATTACAATTTAATGTAAACAGTGTTTTGCTGTAGCAACTGGTTTCAAAATCAGATACAAGGCAACCACCAGAATTTGGGATCAACAAAAAGAAACCTCTAGAAAAACGTTCCCCCACACCCTATCCGGACGGTGACCCTTACTCACAGGAGGAGCCTGGGAAAAGTCATTAGTGGGCCAAGACCTGACTCGGGCATGGAGGCCATGGGCACCAATGCCGCAGCCCTGCCACAGTGGACCAGACATGGTGCCATTCTCTGGAGAACCCAAACACCTGTCTCCAAGAATGAGCACCATCGAGAATACAGTTTCTGGATGCTCTCTTCAATGGGGCTTAGAACGTTCACATGCATTTAGATACTTCAAGAGAGAAAGGGAGAAATTGAGTCACTCTAATGTGGTTGTTGGACCAGTAGGAAGGACAAGGTACAGACCTCCGGCTGGATGGCTTTGAACACAGGGATGTCCATTAATGTGATCTGGCTCTGCAACAAAAGAGAATGGGTGTTAGAAAACGTAAAGTAACTGTCATGTTCCTTTGAATCTATACAGAGTAATAACACTCTTAAAGGTTATAATCTCCCCCTTGAATAAAAATCAAGACAGAGTAGAAAAGAGACAAATTTTTAAAATGCCTTTCCCGTCCCTTCCCTCGTCATAAATCTTGATCCACACCCTTCTTTCTTGAATGTGAGACAAACGTCCAACTTCAGCAATGGTAATAGTAGTTTGGAGGTTGGGACTGAGAGAAAAGGAAACATTTTTTGGTTTGGATATTTTTGTATAATTTAAGTTTATTTTTTTTCAAGCATGAATTACTTTTGTAATTGTAAAAAGTTGACAATATTAAAAATTAGAATGCGAAACAGACATTATTACTCTAAATTTAAAAGAAAACTGTGGCTTACAGAAATTTCTTCTGAAGTCTAAGCCTCCTCAAAATCATATGGTAGAGTGACACTCGAGATGCCTCCACAGGCCAGTGTGGACCACAGGCTGTTTATTCCACGGCCCACAGTATATGAGATAACTACAGAACTTAAGAGCAAGCATTGGGAAACTTTTATAGTAATTTGCCATGATACTCTTATTATATTTTTTAAGTATTAGTCTTCTGTAGCTTGGAAATGAAAAAAATTGGTCCTTCACCACAACTAGCTTGAGAAGCACTAATGTTGTCAGCACAGAAAACACAGGTCTGGTTAAAAGGCTGTTCTCACTGAGCAACAGGAAGAGAGGCATTGCTGCTGACAATGCTGCAGGCCAAGGCACGGCTGAGCTGACTGCACATGACCTACCTATCTCCTGTGTCACATGGGCTGCCAGGTGTCAGCTAACAGATGCCTCTATGGCAGCCCAGGGAGGAGAGCTGATGGCCTTTGGATGCCTCCTAGTGCAAGAGGACACCCTGTCCACCAAACACAGGTCATCTGGTCATCTGGGAGGACGTGATGCTGTGGAATAAACATGGGCTCAGGGCTCAGCGGGGCTTGGGTACATGTCTAGATACCACTGCTTAACAGCAATATTCTGTTTGGCACCTGACAATTCTCCCAGTCGCAGATGCCACATCTAGAAAACAGGAACAATAATCCCTATCTTACAGGATCTTTGTGAAAATCTAAGACAAAAGATGCAGAATGCCTGGCACCTGACAGGTACTCTCTATATATGTATGTGAGGGGTGGCGGGGGTGGGGAGAGGATATGGATGTGGTTGTGGTTGTGTGTATATATAGAGAGAATCTATATGTATATTATACACACAGAGAGAACATCTCTGAGCAGGAGAAGGAAATAAGCAGGTAGTTTCAGTGGAGAGCCTCTTTGTCCCCCAAAAGGCTAGTGCCCTCCATGTGCACAGAAACGCTGTCACTGATGGAAGCACGGCAGAGACAGTGGATGGGAATGAAGCACTCGGAATCCACCCTCCTCCACCTCCCGGTCCACCACCAGGGGCAAGGAGGCATGGGACCACAGCACGCGTGGATCTGGCCCTCATAATCTGGGTGTCCAGTGACTACTAAGCCCTGGAGCCTATAGGCCTGTGTGTCTAGCCTAAGGCAGTGCAAATAGACTGGCATCTCTCCTGCCAGACCCACGGAGATTGTTGGCCAAATGCTCCTGACCTTGGATTAATTCTGCCATCCCAGGGAACAGAAAGGCCTTGTGAAACCAGATTTGAGCTGAGAGCTCAGAGGGCCTTGGAAATCTCTCCCGCAGATCAAGTTAACTCCCTATCCGGGAGAACCGGCAGGATGTTTGCAATGTCATTTAGGAAAAGAACCAAAAGTCTGCTAATGTGAAAATGAGAAAACTTCCTCTGCATCCTGCCATCAGTTCTAGGGTTTGCTACTGAATTTCCATATGATTTATTAGAAGAGTGACTTTACGTTTCATATATTTTTTTGGATGGTTCAAGTTTCGAATATTCTGATTCCTGCTCAGGCTGTAAATCAGAATATGTGTTCAAGTGTTTTATTCTAAACAAACTAGGTCAACAGAGGTCACCAGACTTAGAACAGACTGGCTGGTCCCAAAGACACAATCTGAGGGTTTTCAGGAGAATCTCTCCCGTTTCTATTCTCTCAACTCCAACCAAAAAAGATGCAGTGTCCAGAGCAAGAATATCTCAATACATAGGTAAAACCACCCAATTATATATTTCGTGTCATTTTACTCCAAGGCCAACCACCTGGGAAAAAGGTTGCTGGTTGAGCAGCCCTTCCCCAGAAGTTTGAGCACCTCAAGGCAGGCAGTTTTACCAAAAAGGGAGGGTGTGGGTAAGGGTGGGAGCTCTCAGCCCTCCCTAGGGAAGGGCCCTGGCTTCCTGGAGAGAAAAGGTATCTCCTGGGAGTGTGGCACAGCCCCCACAGAAACACAAGACAATGAGACTCATTCCAAGCAGCAAACCCGAGGTAGTGAGGAGCACATGCCGGGACCAATGAGAACACTCCTGAACAAGCATCCTATTGGCTTCTCCTTATTTTGGGGAATAAAACCTCAACACGGGATGTCCAATTAAGCTAGTCACTTGGCATTCTTTAATCCTAACCCTTTCTCCAATCTCTTCCTTCCTCCTAAAAATCCAGCCTTTTAGGGAAGTTGCCAATCACCACGTATCTCAAAACATTTCGGTAGATATGAATCCTTCAGAATGGAGAGGCCTATATGGCCACTTTACAATGTGGCCCTAAAGAAAAAGATGTTATTATATGGACAAATGAAAGCTACCTAGCCAAAAAGAAAAAAAAAAGGTTTTGCATATGTTAATTGTAGTGTTTCTCCCCTCCAACAGTGGCTGACTGAATCCTCTCTTCCCAACTAGACCCCTAGTTTAAGGCGCTCTACCCCCAAATAAATGAACCCAAGAAAAGCCATTGGCAATCAGTGGTCTGTCTTATAGAAGATCTCTTTAAATTTGCATTTAGATCACTCTCCCAGTACCTAAGTAGGAGGGCTCACAGAACAAAAAGTAATCCGCTCCAAAGACACATTCCGGCTTCTACTCCCAGAGCCACAGGAAGCACACATCTGGCAGTGTTAGAACTGGAGTCAAGGAAATGCAAATTAAACAGGAAGATACCATTTGTCATCTACCAGTGCCATCAAGACTGATGGACTATGAGCTACTCTGTTTGTTCTTTTTGGAAAGTAATCTGGCAGTAACTCATAAAGAAGTTTTTAACCTTTTTTTTTTTAAATGTCAAACTTACAAAAAAGTTTCCAGAATTATATGAACTCTATAACCTTTTACCTAGCTTAACTAATTATTAACATTTTGCCTCATTTGCTTCATCTCCATGTATGTACCTAGTAATTACACATGAACATTTTTCTGAACCATTTGGGAGTAACATGCAAATACTATGACTTTTCACCCCTAAACCCTTCAGTGTGTTGTTTCCCAAGAATAAGATGACCCTCTTACATGTTAAACTTATTACATTCAGGAAATTTATCATTAGTACAACATTATCTAATATACAGTCCACATTCAAAATTCGCTAATTATCTCAATACTGTTTGTTATAGCAATTTTGTCTTGATCCAGGATCATTCACTGCATTTAGATATTATCTCCTAAAAGGAGAAATAAGCATACTGTTGACACAAGAATCTCTATGCCTGCAGAAAAAAAAAGTACTAGTACATAAGGAAATTTTACATAGAGATCTACGTTTAGATACAGATATAAATATAGATGTTTATTGCACCATTATTTTTAGTAGCAAAAATCTGGAAACAGTCTAAAAGGCCACCAAAAGGGACTTGTTGAAAAAAAACATGGTATATCCAGACTCCGGAGTATCATGCAGCTATTAAAAATAGAGAATTGGACCCATACATGTTGACCTAGAAGGATGCCCATGACCAACTGACGATAAAGACAAGTCCCAGCAATGCTTTTTGCTATGCTTTCATCCACTGGGGAGTAAAAGGACTGAGATCTACCTGTAGCGTGTCCCCAGTAAAAAATGAGGACCTTTTAAATAATTTTAACCCTTTTTATTATAAAGTAACACACATTTACAGAAAACCACATTAAACAAATGCATGGTTTTATGACTTATTATAGATGAACACCCTGTAATCACCACTCAGGTCAAGAAATAGCCACCCCAATCAATAGATGAATGGACAAAAAAATGTGGTATATACACACGATGGAATCTTATTCAGCCTTAGAAAGGAAATTCTGACACCTGCCACAAGATGGTTGAACCTCAAGGACATTATGCTAAGTGAAATAAGCCAGTCACAAAAAGACAAACATTGTGTGATTCCACTTATATGAAGTCCCCAGAGTCATTAAATACATAGAGACAGAAAGTAGAATGGTGTTGGGGGTAGCAGGGCATGGAGAGTTATTTAATGGGTACAGAGTTTTGCAAGATGAGTACAGTTCTAGAGATTGGCTGCACAATAATGTGAATGTACTTAACAATACTGACCTATACACTTAAAAATAGTTACGATGGTAAATTTTATGTTACATAAAGTTCAACACAATTTTTTAAAAAGTCACCTCAGAGTTCCTCCATGTGCCTTGTCTCAATCACAAGTCCCTCCCTACTGTCAAAAGTAACCACTATCTGGCATCTCTCCTGCCAGACCCACAGAGATTGTTGGCCAAGCGCTCCTGACATTGGATCAATTCTGCCATCCCAGGGAACAGAAAGGCCTTGTGAAACCAGATTTGAGCTGAGAGCTCAGAGGGCCTTGGAAATCTCTCCCACAGATCAAGTTAACTCTATCAGGGAGAACTGGCAGGATGTTTCTTTATAATTTTATCACCCAAGTATGTGTATACCAAGGCATCATGGTGTCTTTTTAAAACTTTGATGCACTTTGTATATATTTTTAGTGATTTTTAGAGAGAGAAGAAGGAAGAGGGACAGAGAGATAGAAATATTGATGAGAGAGGAGCATCACTGATCAGCTGCTTCCTGCACAGTCCCTACTGGGGATCGAGCCCACATCCC